GGAGTGTGCCTGTGCATGTTGTTGTTTTTTTGGGGGGAAATAATCCACTCACTTAAAATTTCAGGATAGATGGTGAATGCAAAACAATTTCAAGCAGGGTGGAAGTCGTTTGTGTGCTGACATCAGTATGACCCATAAGCTAGGGTAGCATCTTTGTGCTCAGGCAAGACCACAATAGTTGTCTGTTTTTTCCACAATAGCCTCACAGGCAGTTGGTGTGTATTTTGAACTCAGCCATTTAGCTCCCTGCATTGTTGCTCCATAGTTTAGCTCACTGAGTGTGGACAAAACAGGTCCCTCTGTAGGCTGTGAAGCCCCAGTGGCCTAATGGATAAGGCACTGGCCTCCTAAGCCAGGGATTGTGGGTTCGAGTCCCATCTGGGGTGATTTACAGCAGAGTGGCGCAGCGGAAGCGTGCTGGGCCCATAACCCAGAGGTCGATGGATCGAAACCATCCTCTGCTAATTTCTTTCTTACAGTACATGCCACAGTTCACACAAACAAATCTATCAACACTTCCAAGTAGATAAGGGCAACTTCAAACTAGCATCGCTGCTGCCAACAATCACAAACAAATGATGTGCACTCTTCCAATGTGGCTTGGGGGATGCCAACATTACTTGATTGTTCAGCAGAAACACATTAGGCCCCAACATGTTCACCACAGGACATGTGGAATCCAGGGAGCCAAGCAGTGCTGGACCTCTGGATGAGTGAGGACCCTGTTGGCCAAACAGCTGAAGACAAATTAATTTCTATTCTTTCTGATCCCTTTTTGTAGATGGTTTCCTTGTGAGGCAAAAATCAACTCCCTGTTGCTGCCCCCATCACAATGTGGTATTAAAAAAGTACTTTTGGACATGGTCAGGAATGACGGGTAGCCCTAAAATCTTAAGTGTGGAGTGTGCCTGTACATATCTTTATTTTTTGGGGGAAATAATCCACTCACTTAAAATTTCAGAATAGATGGTGAATGCAAAACAATTTCAAGCAGGGTGGAAGTCGTTTGTGTGCTGACATCAGTATGACCCATAAGCTAGGGTAGCATCTTTGTGCTCAGGCAAGACCACAATAGTTGTCTGTTTTTTCCACAATAGCCTCACAGGCAGTTGGTGTGTATTTTGAACTCAGCCATTTAGCTCCCTGCATTGTTGCTCCATAGTTTAGCTCACTGAGTGTGGACAAAACAGGTCCCTCTGTAGGCTGTGAAGCCCCAGTGGCCTAATGGATAAGGCACTGGCCTCCTAAGCCAGGGATTGTGGGTTCGAGTCCCATCTGGGGTGATTTACAGCAGAGTGGCGCAGCGGAAGCGTGCTGGGCCCATAACCCAGAGGTCGATGGATCGAAACCATCCTCTGCTAATTTCTTTCTAACAGTTCATACAAACAAATCTATCAACACTTCCAAGTAGATAAGGGCAACTTCAAACTAGCATTGCTGCTGCCAACAATTACAAACAAATGATGTGCACTCTTCCAATGTGGCTCGGGGCATGCCAACATTACTTGTTTGTTCAGCAGAAACACATTAGGCCCCAACATGTTCACCACAGGACATGTGGAAGCCAGGGAGCCAAGCAGTGCTGGAGCTATGGATGAGTGAGGACCCTGTTGGCCAAACAGCTGAAGACAAATTAATTTCTATTCTTTCTGATCCCTTTTTGTAGATGGTTTCCTTGTGAGGCAAAAATCAACTCCCTGTTGCTGCCCCCATCACAATGTGGTATTAAAAAAGTACTTTTGGACATGGTCAGGAATGACGGGTAGCCCTAAAATCTTAAGTGTGGAGTGTGCCTGTACATATCTTTATTTTTTGGGGGAAATAATCCACTCACTTAAAATTTCAGAATAGATGGTGAATGCAAAACAATTTCAAGCAGGGTGGAAGTCGTTTGTGTGCTGACATCTTTATGACCCATAAGCTAGGGTAGCATCTTTGTGCTCAGGCAAGACCACAATAGTTGTCTGTTTTTTCCACAATAGCCTCACAGGCAGTTGGTGTGTATTTTGAACTCAGCCATTTAGCTCCCTGCATTGTTGCTCCATAGTTTAGCTCACTGAGTGTGGACAAAACAGGTCCCTCTGTAGGCTGTGAAGCCCCAGTGGCCTAATGGATAAGGCACTGGCCTCCTAAGCTAGGGATTGTGGGTTCGAGTCCCATCTGGGGTGATTTACAGCAGAGTGGCGCAGCGGAAGCGTGCTGGGCCCATAACCCAGAGGTCGATGGATCGAAACCATCCTCTGCTAATTTCTTTCTAACAGTACATGCCACAGTTCACACAAACAAATCTATCAACACTTCCAAGTAGATAAGGGCAACTTCAAACTAGCATCGCTGCTGCCAACAATCACAAACAAATGATGTGCACTCTTCCAATGTGCCTTGGGGGATGCCAACATTACTTGATTGTTCAGCAGAAACACATTAGGCCCCAACATGTTCACCACAGGACATGTGGAATCCAGGGAGCCAAGCAGTGCTGGACCTCTGGATGAGTGAGCTTCTGCTGGCTCACTTTTTAAATACTTTCTCAGTTTACATCATTCATCATGCAACAAAATCACACATTCCTTTGTGGGAGGGAGTTAGATCTACTGGTACGTTAATTGCAATGCGCACATGGTCTTTGTCATGTCAACAAAGTCATGTCATGTCTTGCTCAGTAGAAGGAAAGTCTGACTGGTCAACTGGTCTTCCTTCATTATCCAATTGTCACCGTTTGAGAACATTTGGCATATCATAACACAAAAAATGTAACAAAGGAGACCTTGGAATGATGACACGACCACACATACAACTTTGTTCTGCTGAAATGCATTTTAATTAAACAGTATCTTTCATCTTCTCTCTCTCATTACTCCTTTTATTTTCATACCTCTTTGTAGGTGTCATCAGTGACTGAGCTGTGGTGCTAAGTTATGACAATATATACTCACAGCTCAGCTTATATGATTAATGGGCTGATGTTAGGACACACAGCAGCTGTTAAGCTGGCCTTCATTCATTCAAAAACAGTTGACTTAAAATACAAACAGAAAAAGATGGCTGCCTTTATGAAGGCAATGGACTTCATAAATAAGAATATATTTTCCTGCCAGACAAGAATATAAAAGAAATCCAATCAAATTTCGCATTTAGGCAGTCTGAATTTAAAGCACTGCATTTGTGTAAGGGCTTTCTGCATGGACCCAAGGTGAATGAAAAAAACAACTCAACTAATTCTAAGGATCCATAGATTATGAATTATTTTCCTGACAACCTAGAAAGAAAAAGGAAAGAAGGTGCATCTCCATCCAAACCTGCCACGTTGACTGGCTGGATGGACATTAACAGTATACTGCAAAGACGAAATAACATGAATAAAAATCTGAAGGATTTGATGTCACACATGAACCACGAAAAGCAGAAACAGATTGTGAAAAGACAGACACAAATCAGCTGCTTATCTGTGCTGCAGAGGGTAGATGGTGCACCATGCATGATTTTAGTCTAATGTTCAATATGGGAAAATCTGAAAGTTTACATTTTATTTTCAGTCACAAGCATTTTTGTTGAAGGCCTCTTCTATTTGTCCATTACTTCTACCGTCCACTATTTTTAAGAGGCTGTAACAACAATGCAAACAGCATCAGCATGCAGCTATTCCATTGTGTTCATAACCTTTCTATGATTTTTCTCCAGAAATAAAATAAAGAAATCTTATAAGCTCTCTCAAAGGCAAGAAGACCAACATCAGACACTCAATAGATTATGTTTTTCTCCAAACAAAACTTCAATTACCTCCAATCTATTTACATAACCTGGATATAAACCATTTCCCCCGTTCTGTTATCTCCCTCTGCTCCTCATTGTTTGTCAGTGTATCAACTTTAATTCTCTCTGGTGTGGTGACTTTTGGCAGAAAATTAAACTTCATATTTCCTCTCTCTTCCTCTTTGTCTCCCTCTCTGTGACTCTCTTTCCATCCTCTTGCTGGTATCGAAATGCGTGCAGCGTGAAATTAAAGCCATTGCATTTCTGACTGTGAAATAAATTTGCCCCACTGATGAGGTTGGAGTCGGTCCAAAGGCGACAGAAACACTTTTACACTCATTTTTCTTCATGGAGGTATTATCCACTTAGTATTGTTCAGTACATGCTCCTCTGTGAAACAAAGGAAGAGCTCCAGATTAATGTTTTACGAACAAACACAACCCATTTTCTATAAAAGGGGAAAGTGTCTTATTTGCAGTTTTGGGGGTTTAGGATCAGGGATTCAGCAACTTTAGAATTATCAGTCTATTACTTTGGTTTTTTCTTTCTTTATTAAAGGGGAACTTGTGTTTATTTTAACCTGGGCCTTATTTTCCCATGTGTTTGTATGTGCTTGACATCTTACAAGATCTCACTTGTTGTGGGAAGACAATGAAGGACAATGGAGATGAACCAGCTGCTGCAAGGCCATAAGTTTAGGAGACTTGTGGTATTTCTGTGGGTGCTGTAGTCCTATCAGAGAGAGCCTTGGTACAACACTCTCCAACAGTCAATTTGAACAGAATAGCATGGAACTAGACTGAATAGATCAGCTTCATTAATCATATTGTTAGTTTTCTGACATTACTAAAACACAGAGGCACAGTCGATTAAAGTCAAACATAGTCTGTGGATAAGAAAAGTCCATTTATGTGAATAAAACAAAGATATGAAGACTGTTTTGATGATCAAAAGGCAAAAGAAAACATCGAACACTGAAATAAATCCTCAACATAAATCCAATTTTCTCCCCTGGATTTACATAAACTAAACATACACTGAGAATATGTAAAGCACAGATGTAGAGGCTGTTTAATTTGCAGTCAACATTTTTGATTTGGTTGTTACATCAACCAAATGCACAAACAGATTTAAGAGACTCGTGCTTAAATCAACAGAGCAGATAAAACAGACTGTTTGTGAGCAAGCGTGAAACGTGTGTCCAGCCCTGCTCCAGGAAACACAAGGATAATTCTGTACCTGAGTCAGCCAAGCTCCTTCTCACCAGGTTTACCAGAAATCAGACAAACACACTTGCTAAGAGCTGAGTTTTTGCAGTGTTGACTAAACTTTTAGAAAGTAACACACCAGCACAGCAGGTGGAGTTGATGCATCTTAGCTCTGGTTGTCACTGTTAAAAGACAAATTGAAGAAATTTGGTTTAAGACTGCATGTCATTAAAGGGGTTTTAGTCGGTCAAGAGACTAGACCAGCAGGCAATCACTGCTGCAGACGTGGTTTACCTGCGACATGGGTACCTGGCTAACCTGATAGCCTCTTAAAAATAATTCAGTACATTTCCATGACACGCGAGAGAACCAAATTATTGTCTTATTCCAATTAAGATTGGACAAATGAAGTGCAGGTAAACACCTTAATTCAACTATAATCGGAGTTTGAAAACTTTGAATATAGTCTGAGAACTCAGATTAAGACACCCAGATAATGCGATTGGAATTCGATTTTCTCTACCATGTAACCAACGAACTTTCAGAGCCTTGCATGGTCAGGCTCCAGCTTACATCAATGACCTGATCCAGCCTTACACCCCAGCCCGGTTTCTGAGGTCGGTGGGTCAGAATTTTCTGATGGTGCCTCACACTCATTTCCGGACCAGAGGAGACCGATCCTTCCAGGCTGTTGCTCCCAAGCTCTGGAACGATCTTCCGCCTGCTCTGCGTTCGATGGAGTCTGTTGACTCCTTCAAAAGGGAACTAAAGACTTTTCTATTTGTTCAGGCTTTTCCCTAACTGTCTTGGGGCTGCTTTGGTTGCTATAGTGTTGTTTTGGCCTTTTAAATTTTAGCTTTGTATGTACTTATTAACTGTGTATTGTTGTTTTTGTTTTTTGCTTTTACTGTAAAGCGCTTTGTGACCTTGGTCTGTGAAAGGCACTGTATAAATAAAGTTTACTTACTTACTTACTTACTAGTCAGAGTTTGATCCCGCAATGCATGTGCGCGTGTGCCACACCCCCTTAACCCTGGAACAATAACACCAAAGAAAAGGAGTAGTGTGCACCTCATCTGCAGAAAAAGTAGCGCGGACATCATGTACGACAAAAACAACGCTGTATGATGCTCCAGCTTCTTGCTCAAAAATGCCCAGCAGCAGCTGTAGCCACTTCTGGCATCTGGCACAGACCTGCTTTTGTTGCATGAGGTCGGAAACAGTGCAGCTGAAAAGACCCATACTGCCCCCTGGTTTTGGGGAGGAGAACGCGTTCGCGTCAATAATTTGATTTTCTCAGCTGCATGTATACGCAGACAAGGAGAGTTCGATTCAGGAAAAAAAAAAAAAAGAGCTTAGTCTGGCTGAGCTGTACATGTAAATGCACTGATTGTGGTGTAGCAACGTTTTAATACAGCGTGGTTCAAATTCAGCCACTTTTTGATGTGAAAGAAATATATGAGCGCCAGAGTCACAGTCAAAAAATATAAAGTTTATACAGTCTATGCAAGAAATACCTGATTAGACCTACACAGTGCTTATGTTGATGATAGACGCCCCCCTTAATTTAAAGGAAGAGGTGGTAACGAAGTAAACTTTTGATGCACTCTGTCAGCTCTCTCAGGAGGGTGTGAAAGGAATGAGTGGGTGTGTTTTCACCCTCTTTAACCTGAAAGACTGTGTTTTTTTTTTTTTAAACTGTTGTTATAAAGTAAGCAGTGTTTTTCATGCTGCGTCCAAACTGAGAGCCTCAGAATGACAGCAGAATATTAACAGGATGTTTTGATGCTGGAGTTTTTCTGGTTGCTTTTAGTGGAATTGGGACAGCAGTGATCTGAAATCATTCTTTACACTCTCATCCTGAAATGACGACAGCTCACACCAGGGAGCAGGGGATGCAATTTCAGCACTGTATGCAATAAGTTACTGCTTGAAAGGTATGAAAGTTGGGGAGAAAGTTCCGGTATAATACATTTAAGATATTGAATTTCAGGATTGCTTCCTCTGAGCCGGCTTTAGTAATCGATCAGTTTTGAAAAGTCTAATAGTGAATCTCACAGCAGCTCAGAGCTCGATGATGATACATTCTGGTTTGGAGATTACCAAAAAAATGTAGCTGAAGGGGAATTAAAATGACTCTGTATCTCAGATATTATTGATTATAAATTCGTACAGTTTTCTCACACTTAAGGGCCACTCATCCTTTTAAAAGGAGTTACAGCTCATACCTTTTTATTCACCACTTTGATCCTGGGAGCTCCCCGAGGAACCATCATTGTTAAGTCTGCAAATATCTATCTGTGAACTCCTTTCTCCTCCAGTCATTCAGAAAAACCATCCACGGATCATCATATTCAGGAGCTGAGAGTCAGGAGTGCATTTCAAACCCGCCTTTAATCTTTGATGATCATGACTCACGCAGCTTCACTCACGCTCTCTGATGGTGATTATTCGCTCACTGGCCCATTTCTCTCTTGGCTGAGGTTGCTCCCAGTCCAGTCGTATTAATCAACCTTCACTCTAATTGACTGTTCAAGTC